CTACAAAAATATTAAGTACACCTGTTTTGATAATTTATTATATAATACATTTGTAAACAAATGAATGTTTCTCGAGCATCAAATCAGCATATTAGAATGATTACTGAAGGACCATGTTACATTGAAGGCTGGTGTAATTGCCATCACAGGAATAAATTAAAATCTATTAAAATAGAAGTTATTTTAATTGCCATATTTCACAATTTTATTGTTTTTACTGTATCGTTGATCAAATAAATGCAGCCTTGGTAAGCTTTAGCCACGTCATTAAAAAAATAATTTACCAACCCCAAACTTTTGAACAGTAATACAAAGTACAAAGTTAAGCAAATATCTTATTTGCTTCCTAAATTGTATAAATTTAAAGTTCAAGGCAGCTTCAGACAGATATGTGTCGTGAATCACTGCTGTCCATTTCTGGAATACTGTTTTGAAATTACCATTAAAAAAAAAAAGAGTATTTGTATAAAAATATAAAATTCTAAATTTCTTGCTTGTGCATTCTTTTTAGTGAAATAAACAGATGTTTCAGTCAAAGGCAAAATAAAGTTAATTCCAAACATATTTAAATATTGATACATAAAATAAGTCAATGTTAATCAGAAACAATGGTGCAGAATCATTAGATTTTTCATCAGATTTCAGTGATTTCATTAAGTGTTGATTTAATATGCTAATACTCTTTGGTAAATTCTTATTGGCTTGTACTGTATAGACACAAACAGTTAGACGAAAAACAGGAGGTGATTGGAGTTAAACTCGGGATGTAATACCTGCCAGGTCACATCTCTAGGAAACACTAACCTAATGCAACTCTTGTGTTAATGAAGCCATTCAGCAAAATAAGAGAATGTTTTAATAGCAATAATTGTAACAAATGACAATATGTTTGACAGTTATTGTAAAATATGCTGCATCATAGATGGTAGTGACTGAAAAAGTTTGTGTTTAGAACGGGTGAGCTGAAGTCCTGCTCCACAGGACGTCAGCATCTATATCATTCTTGTCAGGTTGAGTTAACACAATTCAGTCCTCATCACTGCCTAAGTCCAGTGGGTTGAAATCAGGGTCATCCTCATCCAAATCCAAATCATCCATGTCTTGAAACAGTGATTCGTCTACTTCCACACTGTTCCCACCTAGAGGAAAAGAGCAAAGAATACCAACTTTGAAGGATAATCAAGTTTTAAGTTTCAAAAAGAAAAAGGCATCCTATGGCAACTTGAATATAAAATAATAATAATTATTGACATTGCTTACTGTCTTCCAAGAACTGGATATCTGATGTGTCAAGATTGTGGTCTCTCTCAAACAGCTGTTTTCCTGTAACATAAAAAGTAAATGAGCAGATCATGACAAAAGGTGGTTCAGATTTGGGTTTCTACACTACTCTCAATGTTATGATAGCAACTCACCTGTGAGTTTTCCCTTTCCTGACTGCTCCTCTTCTTTCTGCCTTTTCTTCTTCAGTTCTACCATTTCTTGTTCAAATTTTGCTTTCCATGATAAGAAGTTCTCAATTGTGACCACAGTGCCTTGGAATGCACGCTGAGAAAAGCAAAACAAAAACATTTTCCATTTTAATATAAAGGATAGCTATGTAACTGCTAACAAATCTACCATTCAACATAATAATATTTAAGTATAATAGCAATGTTGTGGTACAGTTTGGTTGGTCTGTTTTTGTAAGTCATCATGGCCTCCTACTGGTAGAAGCTGTACTTACACCTCTAGCAAAAGCATTATTTGTCTTTACTGACAAAAGTACTTGTTTATTGTGGCTAAACAAACTTTTGGATTGTTGCAATGTTTTTAAATCAGTTGTTTGGACTCTCATTCTGACGGCACCCATTCACTGCAGAGGATCCAAGTGTGGGCAATTGAAGTAATGCTACATTTTTCCAAATCTGTTCTGATGAAGAAACAAACTCGTCTACATCTTGGATGGTCTGAGGGGGAGTAGATTTTCAGCAATTTTTCTTTTTTGGGTGAACTATTCTTTTAATGTTAGTCTACATTCAGAAGACACGTGCTCAAACCTTCTCAGCTTCTTCGGTCTCCCTTTCTTTTCTTTGTTTCTCTTCTTCTCTTCTGCTCTTAATCTGGTCAATTATTTCGTTAAGTTTCTCCTGCACAGCTGTCACCAACGTGAATATCATAACCATTCCCAGGTTTTCTTCAGCCTACAAAAGAAAGAGGTTATTAGGAAGGACTAAAGGACAGTAAAAAATACCCAACATCAGTATGTGCACTTTTATGTGTTTTGCTGGTTAAGATGTCACATGTGCAGACCTGTTGCTGTAAAAGTATTAGAATGTCTTCTGTATATGAATCTTCCAGGTTCTCCTGTGAGATGATCTCCCAGAGAGGGGGCTCGTCTGGGTATTTCTCCACATATGTAAACTTTAGGGTCACCTCCACCGCTAAAACAGACAGAAATCAGCTTTGAGCTACACAGTAACCCTATAAAGCAAAGGTGTCCAAACTCAGTCCTGAAGGGCCACTGTCCTGCAGAGTTTAGCTCCAACTTGCCTCAACACACCTGCCTGGATGTTTCTAGTAAGCTTAGTAAGACCTTGATTAGCTGGTTCAGGTGTGTTTAGTTAGGGTTGGAGCTAAACCCGGTAGGACAGTGGCCCTCCAGAACCGAGTTTGGACACCCCTAAAGCCTACTGTATCATATCGGATACATACATTTCTAGGGCCTCTCAGTTATTTGTACATCTCTCAATCAACATTGTACTGCATTGCATTATACGTTTTGCCCATCACAATAAAAACTACAGAGCTTTGATCATAAAACTAAGCACTATTGGGAGATTAAGAAGGACAAGTGATATTTATAGGCATTTTATGTAAGCAGTCTGTTGTACTGTTGCAAAGAGTTTATTGATTTACAATACAAGGCATCAGATTTTCTAATTACTTTCTGGCCATATAATTATCAGCAACTGCACCAAATTGCATATTTTTGCTCAGTTTGGGCCTCTAAATAAAAGTGTTTTTCCTCCTCTATATTCTCCAATATCATACTGCGTGAGCCATAAAAGCTTGATGTATCACATATGACACTTCACAGGGTTAATGATAGTAGAACACACTGTAACATATTCCGTGCACAGTAAAGCACATGAACTTACTCTCTTCATTTTCTCCCGCATCAGAAGTAACTGTGATGGTGAAGCTTGTGGGCTCCTCGGAAAGCACTGCGTGAATGAAAATATTGTAAGGAAAGAAACAAACAAACTAATGAAATATACAGAGCTCACTATTATTCCTTCCTACACACAGTCTGGAAGTAAACAGATATGGGTGACCAGACCACTGACTAAACCAGTACTACTTCCACAGTTAATTCAAAGCATTAACTGTCATCGGTTATTGTTTGCTTTGTTTCTTAACTTTCGACAACTTAATCTGCTGCTATGAAGAATGATATCAAAGAGATGACTGAGTCGCTCGTATGTTTAACTAACTTTGTTTGATGAAAAGCTAACGTTAGTCAGCTAACGAACAGCGTGGCGATTTTATAGGCATAAAACATAAACTTTGCAGTCAATCTTACCTGTAAACGAGTCTGGGTAAATGGACTCTACGAGTTTGGACACCCCTAAAGCCTACTGTATCATATCGGATACATACATTTCTAGGGCCTCTCAGTTATTTGTACATCTCTCAATCAACATTGTACTGCATTGCATTATACGTTTTGCCCATCACAATAAAAACTACAGAGCTTTGATCATAAAACTAAGCACTATTGGGAGATTAAGAAGGACAAGTGATATTTATAGGCATTTTATGTAAGCAGTCTGTTGTACTGTTGCAAAGAGTTTATTGATTTACAATACAAGGCATCAGATTTTCTAATTACTTTCTGGCCATATAATTATCAGCAACTGCACCAAATTGCATATTTTTGCTCAGTTTGGGCCTCTAAATAAAAGTGTTTTTCCTCCTCTATATTCTCCAATATCATACTGCGTGAGCCATAAAAGCTTGATGTATCACATATGACACTTCACAGGGTTAATGATAGTAGAACACACTGTAACATATTCCGTGCACAGTAAAGCACATGAACTTACTCTCTTCATTTTCTCCCGCATCAGAAGTAACTGTGATGGTGAAGCTTGTGGGCTCCTCGGAAAGCACTGCATAGAAGGAGATATTGTAAGGAAAGAAACAAACTAATGAAATATACAGAGCTCAGTGTTGCACATCTCTTCCTACAGCCTGGAAGTAAACAGGTAAGTGTGGGTGGGTGACCACTGACCATTGACTGAACCAGTACTTCGACAGGTTATTCAAAGCAGCACGTAAACATAAATCTGACACAACTTCTGCTCGACATCTTATTGCTGACCATCGGTTAATTTTTGCTTTGATTCTTAACCTGTGACAGCTTAATCTGCTGCTATAAAGAATGATATCAAAGCGATGACTGATTCGCTCTTACGTTTAACTAACTTTGTTAAATGAAAAGCCAGTCGGCTAACGGGCAGCGGTGCGAAGTTATAGGCATACACATAAACTTTGCGGTCAATATTACCTGTAAATGAGTCTGGGTAAATGGACTCTATTGCTTCTAGTTCATTCCTCTGCTCCTCGCTGTAGTCTGTCATTTTATGTCACAAATGTCCTCTGTTTTTGTAAGTCATCATGGCCTCCTACTGGTAGAAGCTGTACTTACACCTCTAGCAAAAGCATTATTTGTCTTTACTGACAAAAGTACTTGTTTATTGTGGCTAAACAAACTTTTGGATTGTTGCAATGTTTTTAAATCAGTTGTTTGGACTCTCATTCTGACGGCACCCATTCACTGCAGAGGATCCAAGTGTGGGCAATTGAAGTAATGCTACATTTTTCCAAATCTGTTCTGATGAAGAAACAAACTCGTCTACATCTTGGATGGTCTGAGGGGGAGTAGATTTTCAGCAATTTTTCTTTTTTGGGTGAACTATTCTTTTAATGTTAGTCTACATTCAGAAGACACGTGCTCAAACCTTCTCAGCTTCTTCGGTCTCCCTTTCTTTTCTTTGTTTCTCTTCTTCTCTTCTGCTCTTAATCTGGTCAATTATTTCGTTAAGTTTCTCCTGCACAGCTGTCACCAACGTGAATATCATAACCATTCCCAGGTTTTCTTCGGCCTACAAAAGAAAGAGGTTATTAGGAAGGACTAAAGGACAGTAAAAAATACCCAACATCAGTATGTGCACTTTTATGTGTTTTGCTGGTTAAGATGTCACATGTGCAGACCTGTTGCTGTAAAAGTATTAGAATGTCTTCTGTATATGAATCTTCCAGGTTCTCCTGTGAGATGATCTCCCAGAGAGGGGGCTCGTCTGGGTATTTCTCCACATATGTAAACTTTAGGGTCACCTCCACCGCTAAAACAGACAGAAATCAGCTTTGAGCTACACAGTAACCCTATAAAGCAAAGGTGTCCAAACTCAGTCCTGAAGGGCCACTGTCCTGCAGAGTTTAGCTCCAACTTGCCTCAACACACCTGCCTGGATGTTTCTAGTAAGCTTAGTAAGACCTTGATTAGCTGGTTCAGGTGTGTTTAGTTAGGGTTGGAGCTAAACCCGGTAGGACAGTGGCCCTCCAGAACCGAGTTTGGACACCCCTAAAGCCTACTGTATCATATCGGATACATACATTTCTAGGGCCTCTCAGTTATTTGTACATCTCTCAATCAACATTGTACTGCATTGCATTATACGTTTTGCCCATCACAATAAAAACTACAGAGCTTTGATCATAAAACTAAGCACTATTGGGAGATTAAGAAGGACAAGTGATATTTATAGGCATTTTATGTAAGCAGTCTGTTGTACTGTTGCAAAGAGTTTATTGATTTACAATACAAGGCATCAGATTTTCTAATTACTTTCTGGCCATATAATTATCAGCAACTGCACCAAATTGCATATTTTTGCTCAGTTTGGGCCTCTAAATAAAAGTGTTTTTCCTCCTCTATATTCTCCAATATCATACTGCGTGAGCCATAAAAGCTTGATGTATCACATATGACACTTCACAGGGTTAATGATAGTAGAACACACTGTAACATATTCCGTGCACAGTAAAGCACATGAACTTACTCTCTTCATTTTCTCCCGCATCAGAAGTAACTGTGATGGTGAAGCTTGTGGGCTCCTCGGAAAGCACTGCATAGAAGGAGATATTGTAAGGAAAGAAACAAACTAATTAAATATACAGAGCTCAGTGTTGCACATCTCTTCCTACAGCCTGGAAGTAAACAGGTAAGTGTGGGTGGGTGACCACTGACCATTGACTGAACCAATACTTCGACAGGTTATTCAAAGCAGCACGTAAACATAAATCTGACACAACTTCTGCTCGACATCTTATTGCTGACCATCGGTTAATTTTTGCTTTGATTCTTAACCTGTGACAGCTTAATCTGCTGCTATAAAGAATGATATCAAAGCGATGACTGATTCGCTCTTACGTTTAACTAACTTTGTTAAATGAAAAGCCAGTCGGCTAACGGGCAGCGGTGCGAAGTTATAGGCATACACATAAACTTTGCGGTCAATATTACCTGTAAATGAGTCTGGGTAAATGGACTCTATTGCTTCTAGTTCATTCCTCTGCTCCTCGCTGTAGTCTGTCATTTTATGTCACAAATGTCCATAGATTAGAGCCTGCATGGAAGAAACGTAAGGCCCCGCTGGCATCGATGTCATCTGCGATCACCAGTAATGTCTGAGCTAGGGACAGAGATGCGTGAGTAACACCCCGATTTTACTTGCTCTGCTAAACATTAGTAGCATTGTAGTAATTCATGCTGTCTCCGTCTTGAACCTACTACAAAGATTGTATACAAAATAAATAATGGATAAAAATAAACGTGTGAAAAGGCTCGATTCTGGCATGGATTACAAAGCCTGCCGGTGTCGTGCCGAAAATCGATCGTCTGCCGAAAACTGATTGGCGCTTGTAATCACTTTTTGGCACGTGTAAAACTGCATTTTATGGGTTTTATTGGCCATTTAAAGGTATTTCAACAGGTAAAAAGGACTGCATGAGCTATAATTTGTCAAATATAACCCTCGAATGCAATATAGTAGTTTAGTTTAACGCAGTCCTTTTTACCCGTTGAAATACCCATAAAAAGCAGTTTTAGACGTGCCAGAAAGTGATTACAGAAGTAATAAGAGGATCTACTCTCTATATATTAATAATACATTATCTAATGACCCCTCCGTGATCTCTTCTCATGTTTCTAACTTTTATCAAAATCTATACACCTCTTCTTTTGATCTTAATGCTTCATCTTTATTTTTTCATAAAGTTCATTCTGTGATTCCTAAAATGAATGACCACAATAGAGAACTTTGTGAGGAACCCTTTACTATAGATGATCTTTATAACATAGTAAAAAGAAAGCCACACAATAAATCTCCAGGGCTGGATGGCTTACCGTTTGAATTTTTTAAAGTCTTTTGGGACTCTATTAAGTATCTTCTTTACGAAGCCCTTATTGAGTGTTTAAACAATGGTGAATTGGCGGAATCAATGAAACAAGGTCTCATTCCTAAGCCTAATAAAGATCCCAATATTTTGGATAATTGGACCCGGTAGGACAGGGGCCCTCCAGAACCGAGTTTGGACACCCCTAAAGCCTACTGTATCATATCGGATACATACATTTCTAGGGCCTCTCAGTTATTTGTACATCTCTCAATCAACATTGTACTGCATTGCATTATACGTTTTGCCCATCACAATAAAAACTACAGAGCTTTGATCATAAAACTAAGCACTATTGGGAGATTAAGAAGGACAAGTGATATTTATAGGCATTTTATGTAAGCAGTCTGTTGTACTGTTGCAAAGAGTTTATTGATTTACAATACAAGGCATCAGATTTTCTAATTACTTTCTGGCCATATAATTATCAGCAACTGCACCAAATTGCATATTTTTGCTCAGTTTGGGCCTCTAAATAAAAGTGTTTTTCCTCCTCTATATTCTCCAATATCATACTGCGTGAGCCATAAAAGCTTGATGTATCACATATGACACTTCACAGGGTTAATGATAGTAGAACACACTGTAACATATTCCGTGCACAGTAAAGCACATGAACTTACTCTCTTCATTTTCTCCCGCATCAGAAGTAACTGTGATGGTGAAGCTTGTGGGCTCCTCGGAAAGCACTGCATAGAAGGAGATATTGTAAGGAAAGAAACAAACTAATGAAATATACAGAGCTCAGTGTTGCACATCTCTTCCTACAGCCTGGAAGTAAACAGGTAAGTGTGGGTGGGTGACCACTGACCATTGACTGAACCAGTACTTCGACAGGTTATTCAAAGCAGCACGTAAACATAAATCTGACACAACTTCTGCTCGACATCTTATTGCTGACCATCGGTTAATTTTTGCTTTGATTCTTAACCTGTGACAGCTTAATCTGCTGCTATAAAGAATGATATCAAAGCGATGACTGATTCGCTCTTACGTTTAACTAACTTTGTTAAATGAAAAGCCAGTCGGCTAACGGGCAGCGGTGCGAAGTTATAGGCATACACATAAACTTTGCGGTCAATATTACCTGTAAATGAGTCTGGGTAAATGGACTCTATTGCTTCTAGTTCATTCCTCTGCTCCTCGCTGTAGTCTGTCATTTTATGTCACAAATGTCCATAGATTAGAGCCTGCATGGAAGAAACGTAAGGCCCCGCTGGCATCGATGTCATCTGCGATCACCAGTAATGTCTGAGCTAGGGACAGAGATGCGTGAGTAACACCCCGATTTTACTTGCTCTGCTAAACATTAGTAGCATTGTAGTAATTCATGCTGTCTCCGTCTTGAACCTACTACAAAGATTGTATACAAAATAAATAATGGATAAAAATAAACGTGTGAAAAGGCTCGATTCTGGCATGGATTACAAAGCCTGCCGGTGTCGTGCCGAAAATCGATCGTCTGCCGAAAACTGATTGGCGCTTGTAATCACTTTTTGGCACGTGTAAAACTGCATTTTATGGGTTTTATTGGCCATTTAAAGGTATTTCAACAGGTAAAAAGGACTGCATGAGCTATAATTTGTCAAATATAACCCTCGAATGCAATATAGTAGTTTAGTTTAACGCAGTCCTTTTTACCCGTTGAAATACCCATAAAAAGCAGTTTTAGACGTGCCAGAAAGTGATTACAGAAGTAATAAGAGGATCTACTCTCTATATATTAATAATACATTATCTAATGACCCCTCCGTGATCTCTTCTCATGTTTCTAACTTTTATCAAAATCTATACACCTCTTCTTTTGATCTTAATGCTTCATCTTTATTTTTTCATAAAGTTCATTCTGTGATTCCTAAAATGAATGACCACAATAGAGAACTTTGTGAGGAACCCTTTACTATAGATGATCTTTATAACATAGTAAAAAGAAAGCCACACAATAAATCTCCAGGGCTGGATGGCTTACCGTTTGAATTTTTTTAAGTCTTTTGGGACTCTATTAAGTATCTTCTTTACGAAGCCCTTATTGAGTGTTTAAACAATGGTGAATTGGCGGAATCAATGAAACAAGGTCTCATTCCTAAGCCTAATAAAGATCCCAATATTTTGGATAATTGGAGCCTGATCACCCTTTTGAACTCTGATTATAAATTATTGGCTTCTGTATATGCTGAAAAGCTCAAATCTGGCTTAGCAAACATAATTTCTAACACTCAATCTGGTTTTCTAAAAGGTAGACATATCTCTAACAATATTAGATTAATTATAGATATTTTAGATTATTCAGAAATCATAAATAGAGAGGCTTTAATTTTGTTTATCTCCTTTTCTTTTTCTATTAGCCGCCGAGCTATTAAGTTCGCATATAAAGCACTCCAATATTGAAGGTATAAATATTGGAGGGAATACATTGATAATTAGCCAGTTAGCTGACGATACTTGTCTTTTTCTTAAAAATGATTCACAAGTTTCTGTTGCCTTCAATTAATTTATTATTTTCTCCAAAGCTTCAGGATTAGTAGTAAATCCCCCAAAAAGTGAAATTTTATATGTACATGATTCCAATAAAAATTCTGTTGATGGTATTATAGTTAAACGTCATGTAAAATATCTAGGGGTTGATATCTGCAGATCTGATTCAGACCGTCTCCATCACAATTTTCAGCCAAGGTTAGATATCATTAAAAAGATTTTGTGTTGCTGGCTGCAGAGAGAC